CATAGCCGGAGCCTGTAGTCCCAGCTACTTGGGAGACTGAGGCAAGAGAACTGCTTAAGCCCAAGAGTTTGAAGTTGCTGTGAGCTTTGACACCACAGCACTCTACTGAGGGTGACATAATGAGACTTTGGGTCACAAAAAAAAAAAAAAAGACAGATGATGGATAATGGATGGATGATGGATGGATGGAAACATAGATGGATAGGCTGGGTACCCGTAGCTTAGTGGTTAGGGCACCGGCCATGTATACTGGGGCTGGTGGGTTTGAACCCAGCCTGGGCCTGCTAAACAACCATGACAACTACAACAAAAAATAGCTGGGCATTGTGCCAGGCTATTTTTTGTTGTACTTGTTGTTTTTGTTGTAGTCCCAGCTACTTGAGAGGCTGAGGCAAGAGAATCACTTGAGCCCAAGAATTCGAGGTTGCTGTGAGCTATGATGCCATAGCACTCTACCAAGGGTGACATAGTAAGACTCTACCTCAAAAAAAGAAAAGAAAAGAAAAGAAAAGAAAAGAAAAAGAAAGTTAGATGGATAGAAGAATGAAGAGATGGATGTATGGAAGAATGGGTATAAAGATAGATGGACAGATGGAATAATGGTGGATAGACAGGTGGATGAATGAATGGATAGAAAGAGGGATGGCAGGTCATATGGAAGGATGGGTATAAAAATGGATGGATACATGGAATAATAATGGAGGGATGGATGGATGGGGATCTAGATAGCAGCTCTCTGTTACCCACAATAGTCTTGTGAGGTAACAATTATTGTTCCCATTTTATAGATGAGGAAACTGGCTCAGAGTGGTGAAGTCACAGGCCAGACTCATGGAGAAAGTCTGGTAGAAATCTAGGTTCCAACATCAGTCTATCAGACTCCCAAGACCCTTTTTTGAGCACCCTCATGTCACAGTCCCCTCCCAAGCTCCACCCTCAGTGCCCTAGCTTCTCATTCCACAGAGCCCTTTTGGTAAGGCCTAGTGAGAATGAGAATGAGGAGGGACTACAGTCAGAGATGAGAGTGCTGTTAGCTTTCAATGGGGGATTTCATGTAAGCACTGGATCAAGGTGCTGTTAGCTATGAATGGGCCAGAGTAGAGCCCAGGTCTGTTTGGGCACACACACATACACACTTATAGAACACACATAGTACACACAGGGACCCACCCACATGCATATGAGGGCACACACACATTCATAAATACACACTTGCACTTATATGCAAGCACAAAGACATCTCCACTCATAGGTACACAGAAATACTCTTGCACACATACATGCACATACACAATCATAACTCAGAGACATGCTCTTACACACTTACGTACACATTCTCCAGACATACCCATATGCCCACATCTATTTATACACCTGCACACATGTACACAGACTCACACTTCATAGATGGCAGGGCAAGAGAATTTGTCTTCCGAT